CACTCTACTTAGGCCGATTCATCTTACTAGGTCAATGGTTGCATTAAGCCTTACATTTCACTAAACACTTTAGGAGATCATACTGTTAGTTTTTCATCTATCCTCAAGCAAATGGGTGGGACACTAACAAAATTATCGATTGGTTTGTTCCTGTGGACGCTTCAACAATTTTATCCATGGAATTACTAGATACGACAAAAGAAGACTTCTGTTATTGGATAATAATTACTCTTTCGAGGAGGTATTCGTTGAAGACAGGTTATGCAATGCTTCAACAAAAAATTCCTTAGCTTCTACTTTTGTGCATCCTAGTTCAGGCAACTTCACGAAATTGCTATGGTCGCTCTAGTTACAACCTAAATGGAAGCTGTTTTTATGAAAATGCTACATCTTGCTCTCGCAGTTAAGCTTCATTACTAGGGTGTGCCAATTCAAAATGTGTTTTTTGATCGTTGTAGTTTAGCACTAGAAGATTTACAACATCTATTTAGGATGTGCGTTAGTGCACACAAATTTGTGAGGGGTGGATGCCTCGGCATTCACTCATAATTTAATGGAGACCTTTCTCTCTCAGATTAAAGTGGATCCAAGATAAGATTATATCCAAATTTTTATTATTCAGGAAAGGCCTTCTAGTATTCTCTTAGGTATAGTACCTTCGTTGGTAGACTTTGTTGGGATTCTACTGCTACATGACCCTTTTCTTCGCAGATTGTGGAGGTTATGGATTCCCATACAGTTTTTGTTACGTCAAAAGCTTCTGGAAGAAACCTCTCTACGGTGGTGTATAATGGTAGTGCTTCTCCCCGGCCTGGGTTTTATATAGCTCATCTTGGATCACTAAACCTAGGGTCTACTATACAGTCTTTACAGGTAAATGACTCTTAGTTCACATATACTCAACTTGCTGGGATGGGCTGTTGCTTAATTAGATAATGATGACCCGTTGGATGAACGAATCATTGGCGGAAGTAACTTTGGGGTTTGTACCATGAATTATAGGCAATCATGGTGGATTATGGCCTGAAATTGTTACAAGTACAAAACGCTTACCCATTTTGTGAGTGTTCTAAATTTCTAATGTTTTTCCTTTATTTTTCATTTCTTCATTTCCTATCGTTTCATAGTCCATTCATGCCTACTTCCTTATTTTCTAAATCTTATAAAACACTTGATATTCCTCAATCTTTTTTTTTTTGACAATAGCAAAAATATTTATGAAAATTGAGTATTATTTATTTAAAAATAAAAATTAAAAAGGAAAGGGAAGGGAAGAAAGAGAAGTTTGGTTACTATAATGTCATACCAAACAATAGATTTAATTCACAATTATTGAAACTATAAAACCATATTAGTGTGACATTATAGTACTGAAAATTATTTGGTATGAAATTATGGTAACGAACTAACGGAAGGAAAGGGAAGGAAAAACTAATTTTAAGCTTGATAGATTTAATTTCTTTTTTTTCCTCTCAAATTCCTCCAATTTTGAGAGGAAAGAAATTGAAAGGGAAGATTTTGTGAAGGAAGTTTTCCTTCCATTTTCCTTCATTTTATATCAAATTCGTTTAATTATTTAATTTTTAGAACAAAACATAGGAAGCCATAATTTTCCTTACTTACTTTTCTTATCCTCCCTCCTTTTCCCCATCCAAAAAGGGCTTTAAAGTACTCTTAGAAAAGTATGTATATAATAACTAATAGATTGTCGTTGTGCCCTTTTGGAGATGAATTAATTTGCACAATACATTGAGATATTATTCTGGCTTTATCTTTAGAACTGAAAAATGTGCAAAATACTTTTTCAATGTGTGCTTGTGTGTTTTGAAAAGTAGGATTGTTTCATAGATATAATAACATAATCTCTTGATTGTTTCATAGATATAATGATGAAGATATATTTGAATATAGCTCTATCGAATTGCTTGCTTATTATTCTAATTCAAATGATATCATTAGTTCTAAACTCTCCTTCTTGTTTAGTTCCTAGTGTTCCCTAGGCCTTTTGAGGCTTCTCATTCATGGCCCTATATATATTCCCTATAAAGGAGACTCTATGTGTAGGGCAAGTGGCTAAGCCTACAAACTAGGATTTCTTTACCATTTTCATCCAGCTCCCTCAACCCATTCTTAGAGTGATCTGTGCGATCAAAGTTTCATTATACCCAACTTGTTTCCATCCCTAAAGATCCCCTAGACAAACTTCCCAGTCCTTCAGAAATACTCAGTTCCAAATCAGAGTAGATGCAACCTTTAACCATTATGCTCTAACTATGAGAATAGCTACCATTTGCTACACTTCTTCTCAGAAGTGGAAAGGGGGCTTTGTTATGAAATCCACGATGGAAGATGCTAACTTTGCAGAATACTTGGCTGTCTTAGTAAGTAGCTTTAGCTTAGGTTAACAGGAAACAATGGGAGGATGTTATTGTAATCAATTTTTCAAGGACTGTAGTTGATTTAATGACATTGCTGACAATTAGAAAATGAGAGATAAAATCACTACTATAAAATTGCTCAAACAGACCGTAAATAAGAGACCGTTTAAGTAGATAACGGGTCTCTTTGTTCAAGAGACCCAATATTACAAATAAGCGGTCTCTCTTGGATTTTTAAATTTTTATTTTAAAAAGGAGAGACATGTTTTAATACATGACATGTCTCTCTTGAATTTTTTTATTTTAAATTTTAAAAGGAGAGACATGTGTTAGTGTATGGGCGGTCTCCCTAATTTACAAATATAAAAAGGAAATAAAACCCTAGTAACACACGAATCTCTTCATCCTGCCGCTTCATATCCTTCCATGAGTTCTCTAGCTCCATCCTCTCACTCTCCAACATTTGTTTAAACAAACCCATTAAATGAATTAACCACCACCACCACCACCATTACCGGCCACTACCATCACTACCACCACCACGATCTACTTCCTCCTAATCTTTCTCATCACCCGATTTATGTTCGACCAATATGTCGAATGAAAATAATAACCTGCATCCACCTCTATCAGAAGATGATGTTGAAACTTTGGCGCCTCCACCGTCAGTGGAATTCCTCTCTCGTGGTGAATACTAGATGTCGTCGGGGTTTGCAGAGTGGTTGCATGCAAAGTTCCCTCACCTAACAATTGGTCGCCAAATTGGAATGCTCTGCCACTGCCGCCATTGACGGTTGAAGAATCACTAAAGAATCGGGAGGATTTGAACTTGGGAGAGTGAGGTAAAATCATCAGTCTTCATCCTCTTTCTAATTTTGCTGCTTTCAAGCAATAAACTGTTTGATTGAAATTTTGCTAGGAATAAATTGAATAGTATTGATTATACAAAGTGCTGTAAATTTAGCCTAAGAATCTTCGATTTATTTGATTGTTTAGATTTTTGAGAAAAATCACTTATTTTGGGTTTAGTTAGGTATTATTCAACAAGGTTTTATAGAGGAATTACTTGTGTCTGGAATGATTTTGATCTAACTATCAACATGTTTTCTGAATTTGTTAAACAATGTGAATCTCGATCTTCTATGTCTTTTATTTTTATCTTTGTTATAGATTAAAAGAATTTTCAAGAATACTTAGCTTGTGCTTTAGTAAATTAATCTTTGTTATATACGGAGTAACAATTATATTTTCTAAATTTGTTAAACAATTGATTCTTTAGTGAGTTAATCTTTTACTCACTAGTCAAGTTTTCTAAATAATCTCATTTACTACATTTTGATTTATTAGTAGTATAACTGATTTATTAATTTTGTGGTTTTTGATTTTATAGATATGTTGTTTTCACAAGGAAGAAGTTGGAGTACTTCAGCTACATTTTGTGTTGATACAATTATTTTTGTACTGTAAATTAGAATAATTTATATACGATCTACATTTTTTATTGTAGAATTTCAAGTTATTCTGTACTTTGATACGTGTAATTTTATACCAATTCTTTTAAAAATATAGCATATAATATATTGTAATTTTAATTAACAAAATCAAATTAAATACGTTTATTTTTTTTTATTTAAAATGAGACCAAAGAGACCCGTTAAGCCTAAAAAGCGGTCTCAGTTTTCTAAAAAAAAGAATGCCTATTTAAGATAGGCGGTCCTAGTTTTCTGTAAAGAGAGACCACTTTTCTTATAAAGGCAGTCTCAACTTTCTCAATATTGAGACCGCTTATCTTTAAGAGGCGGTCTCAGCGTTCCCATTCTAGAGACCGCCTCTAACAAAGCAGTCTCTTTGCCAAAGAGACCGCTGCACTAGAGACCGCCTCTAAGGCAGTCTCTTGGGCTAATTTGAACGGGTCTCTTTGGCCAATTTTGTAGTAGTAAATGGGAGTTAATATTAGAGAATCGAGTGAAAAGCATTTAGTGTCTCCCAAGAGCGGCAATCCAGCAACCTCATCTCATGGCGCACCATTTCAAGCTGCAGGTCTGGTGCCTTGGAGAAGTGATATTATATGGACCTAGCAGCAAATATCTTTAAACATATAACATTAGTATGAGCAGTATGGTAGACTTTTTATTAGAACCTTATTATATGTTATCTTGTAACTCTAATGGGCTACTTACGCCATATGACAATTCTTGTACAATTGTACTACATATGTTTTCTAACCTATTTGATGAGACCTAGTTAGGACATGTTCACCTACATTTACTTAATTTCAGTTCAGTTCAACTCCAATCAATTCAATTCAGCTCAGCTTCCAATTTCCCTCTCTCATAAAATATTCATTTCAACTCAGTTCAACTACAATCAGTTCAGTTCAGCTCATTTTAGTAAATGTGAACATGCCCTTAATTAATCTAGTTGAACCTCTTTTTAACAAAAAAGAAAAAAAATGTTAGCATTTTTACTGTTTGTTTGTTATTATAATTAATTTGAATAATGTAACACCATTAAACTGCTTGGTTATTATTTGAATTTGAATCAAGAACTATTAAATTCATTCCTTCACCTAACTTTGTTTTTTTTTTTTTTTTTTTTTTGAGGGAAAGCTAGGAAGCGAATTCATTCATTGTTGGACGAATTGTCCATGAGTACATAGGGAGAAATATCGTTGGGACAACAATTCGCCCAAATTTGTTCAACACCATAAGGAATTATACGAGCTAAATGGTGTGCGACAAAATTCCCTTCCCGCTTTACATGAGACCAAGAGATAAAATCAAAGAAAGAACAAGTATCTAAAACATCATCAAGCAAAGAATCCAAGTCGGAAAGATAAGTAGAAGCCTTTGATAGCCTTGAAATAATGCTGCTATTGTCGGACTCAAGTATGACGTTATTGAGACCATGCTGCTTGGCCAATCGAACCGCATATATAGCTGCCTTGCACTCAGCAAGCTTAGGAGACCAGAAGGCCTTGTACCTCTTGACGCCAGCAAACAACACCTCTCCTTTGTGGTTTTGGGCAATAACACCAAGACCAACCCAGCCCTCAATGTTCAATGTTGCGTCGCAATTCACCTTAACACATCCTTGTGGTGGAGGTTTCCATACTTTCGGGCTTTTTGGTGCTTTAGGAGCTTTGCAGCCATATATTCTTTTAGCGTATTTATCATAGTCTTCAACTAGATTAGCCATTCGCATGAGTACAACATTGTGAGGAGTTTCCTTATTATTGAAAACTTTGTTGTTGCGACGCTCCCATATTAGCCAAAGAAGGGCAGCACCACGCTGCTGAGTCTTCAAGTTCTCACTGCCCCAAGCTTCAATCAGGTCCTTAAAGTCGGGGAATTCATCCACTCTCACAAGCTTTTCACAGTTAGCTGCAGCCCATAAGTCACGGACAACAGTGCAGGAGAAAAAGGTATGGCTTTGAGTCTCGGTTTCAGTTAAACACCATGGGCATTTGTCATCTTCACTCATGTGCCTGTAATTGAGAAGAGCACGGACTGGCAGAGAGCTTGATTCAAATTCAGCCAGACTACGAGACGGTTACACTTGGCATTTCAACTTTCATCATGTAGGCAACAATTAAATAGTATTATGACACGTATGATTTATTTGGATATACATTTTATGAATAAAAATGTTATATTTTTTAATAGGATAAAAAAACTAGGATATACATTGTAGGATAAAAACAAAGTTAGTTTAGAGTTTTATTTACAATATTTCAATAGATTTATAGGATAAAATTTGTTGCTTAGAATTTTTATTTCCAATAAAATGCCTGTATTTCACCGGTACAAAATAAATTATTAGTTTAGCAAGATAATGAGACATCAACACTTGGCGTTTCAACTTTTGATCAAATGTCGCGTCACGTAGACAAAAATTAATAATTTATCCAATAAATTTATTTTTTATATCATAACTTTTTTGGAGCGAATGAATTAATTTAGAAAGTGTAATATTTATATATAATATATGCTAATAGATTTAACTAAAATAATTTACAATCTAATATGATTTTAATGTTTTATATAGAATTTTCAATCATGTCGACTTACTGGTCAAGTCATCTAAAATGTGAAAAAATGTTCACACTAGCCCAAAATTTTGGGTTTTGGGTCAAATCTACGGGTTAAGAATAATTTTTTTGGTTTCCCTTGTTTTTTGCTGATTAAATGTTTAATATTTCAAACTTACTTTGCTATTTTTTTTTAATGTATAATTTTTTAAATCAAACGTTTTCACCAATATTATCATGGAAAAAGCTAATGAGCGCCCCCGGGGCGTTAAATTAGATAAGAGAATTAAAGTGTAAATATTAAAGTAAAATTAATATTAATTACACCAAACGACGCGTGATTTTGTCATGAATTCCTAACTTAATATCATTTCAACAAATATAATTTATCCTTATCTAACGCTCTGGGGCGCTCGTTAGCAAGATCGTATTATTATTAGGCATTGCAAGCCTAATACATAATTTAAATCGTTATAAAATCACATTAATTCCTAACTAATCAATAAAAGTTTATCTCAAAATATATTAACTATTACTAAAACAAAACATGTTGACATTACTAGAGGACACTTGTCAATTTCTTATGAAATTTTTTCCCGCGAAAACTATTTTTGATATCATAATTGTTTTTTTTCCTCCTAAGTTCTAAAACTAAACAATTACAATATTTCTTTCAAAGTTAATAAATAAGATTATGATTACACTATTTCGAATAAAGAATATTGACAACAATTTTATACAAATAAAATCTATTTAAACCGTACAACACATGAGATTAATCTAGTTTAATAAATAATTCGGCATTGCATGGGGCACCTAACTAGTATTATATAGTTTTTTTTTTTTTTTTTTTTTAACGAGCCTTAAAATTTGAGTTTGAATTTTAAAGAGAGAGTGTATGAAGTTTAAACGTGATTTTTTTACAATAGCAAGATCTTCCTTGTAGTTAAATAATAATCTCTGAACTTGTTCTTGCATTGTTTACCATGTTTTCACGGATTTTTTTTCCTAATAAGAGATTACACCACCGCCACCACAACAACAACCCAAAAAATAAATAAATAAATAAACGGAAATAAAATACTTAGGCAAGACGAAAAGAACTTACTCGTCAAAAAAAAAAAAAAGAACTTAAATTAATGTCCTACGAATATTCATTAAATTTGGTAACTGCCAAATTTCAATTGTATTTACTTTCCCATTTATTACGAATTTGAATATTCAAATATTTTGTTTGCCTATATATGGCACTTTTTTACTATATCTTTAGAAATAAATCGTGAGTAGCCAGAATGTATTAATTATTAACGTAAAATTTTGGTTCACATTCCATTTTTATTTTTTTTTTACAAACATATTCCATATTTTAACCAAGTATTTTGTTATTTAAATTCAATCGTTCATTCGTTTGTTCTTAAACGTTTGGAGTACACAAAATACCTAGCTGTCAAACTTTTGTATGCGTTGATCTTTGGCGCACCATTTCACGGTAATTCATCTTCTTCTTCTCTATACTTTGTGCATGATTATGTATGTGTTTAATTTAATACTGTAATATTTTTGTATTTCCTAACAATTTCTATGTGTTTTAATTTTGATGTATTCTTAAAAGTTATACAATATACATGATTGAGTATAAGTTAACCTAAAATTCTTTTATGCTAATCACTTCACTTCTGATTATTAACTTTCTTGTGCAAATTCTAAATAGTTTTTTTTTTTTTTTTTTTTTTTTTTTTTTTTTTTTTTTTTTTTTGAGAGAACGTAATCATGTGGAGTCTAAGATCGATCTATGCTAATCACTTAATTTTAGATAATTAACTTCCTCATGAATTGCAAATCCTACATAGATTCACTTTTCTTTCGAGTGAACTTAATCTGTTAGATTTATTCTTCCTCTAATTGTTGTTTGTCCTAGTTTAAAAGGTTTTATTTTGTGTCAGTCGATGATAAAGTGGTGTTATTTCTAATTCATTAGTCAAATATATACCAAAAATATGTTAGAATAATTAAAGGAGTAATCGATTGTGTTCTACTCTATTAATATTCAAAAAAAAAAATGGATTGTGATTGGTGTAGGTTGTTGGTGATAAACTTATGTTTTACTAATAAGATAATTATTGTTTTTTTTTTTTAAAAAAAACAATAAGATAATTATTGTTTTATATAGAGTTTTATCTTTAAAATTATGATATCTTGCGAAATATGATAGAATAGAAGATAGAATTTGCGAAATGTGAGTACTATATAATAGGACTGGAGATACAGCCTGAATACCATAGGTTTAATAATTTATTCGTGATGGGAGCTTTGAAGTGCTCTTGAATTGATTGCTCAACCTAGGTGGTAGGTAAATTTCATAATTAATTTCGAAATTTCGATTTACATGGTATTTTTTATTATAATGAAAGTACTATCGATTTATGTAGTTTTTTTTTTCATAAAATTTTTTGTTAAGCGGAAATTTTTTAGGCCGCTGTAGAATTGTTCTTTTGGGGTAAATTCAATTTATTTTAATAATTTAAGTTTGGGATGATTTGTTTTCTTGATTGAGGATTTTTTTATGTGTTTCGTTACAAGGTATTTTTGTGCTTTTTGAAAAGATTTTGAGTATATTAATTGATAATTTTTCAAGCAATAAATTGATTTAACTTCTATGGTTAAAGGTATTGTGTTGGATGCATAATAAGCTATCGAGTAATGCAAAATTTTGTCTGTGTTTTTTATTTTATTTTTTTTTTGCACTTGCACACTTTTATGTAATGTGTGATACGTGAGTTGTTGTATAGTATAGATTCTACTATTATAAGTTTAGTGTATTATGGAGTTGCTTCTCTGGAGCATAAAGTTGGTTTTGGAATGAAGCTTCTTGCGTAGTTGCAAGCGAGTTATGGTTTTGGGATGAAATCTCTTGGGACTTGCAAGTGAGTGATCGAGTTTTTGGATAAAACTCGTCTTAGTCTTGCAACCGAGTAATTAAGTTGGCATCGGGTAGAAACTTCTCTCGGACTTGTGGAAAAGCTTTGAAGTTAACCCGTTCCATCCATAACTCAGGATTTGATCCAAAGGTTGAATTTTAATCATTTGTACATTCCCTTCATATTGATGGAGGAGTTTGAGCTTCGAATTTTTCCTAAACCCCCCTTTCCTAAGCCCTAATTTCAGTAACAATTATCTAACACTCTTCTAATCCTCCTCTTCCTCAGCAGTGAATTAGTCGTCAATGGGCAGACGTAGTCGTGATGCAGGCTATCACCCTAATATTACAAAGCCACAGAAACTAATACGGCGAACAAACTTGAAGAACATTGATATCCATCTTCCGTTAAAAACTCGCCGCGGAATACTTTGTTCCACAGACAATATTCGTAGAACTCCAGGTTCTACGAATATACCCAGTGAGCCGATCTGTGCAGCCATTGGGAATATAGAGATCAAGCCCATCATTGTTAAGCAATCAAGTCGTAGTACTAGTAATGATGATTTACTACTACGCGACAGTAATAATCAAAAGGTTGACTTAAAAAATGAGGGTTTTAAATTCTCTATTTGTACAAGTCTATACAATTTAGGAAATGCCAATTTGATGAAACTAACATCAAATAAACATGGCATGGAGTATGGACTTGGCAAACCTTTAGTCGAATCGAATGAGGAACATGTAAACGCTTGGGCCGAAAGAAAGAACATTGACAATGTATCGAATACTTTCGGACCCAACCGTAACATGATTCCTAGAGATGTGAATGAATTAGTCAAACAAAAAGGGTTGCTATTAAAGAGGTTCGACTATTGGTACAATTGGTATAGCAAAACAAAAGAAAACATACCTTGCTTAAGGAGTGACCAAATGGCTATAAATAAGCTCAAGGAAGAAGGATACGTATTCGAAAAACGCAAGATTATTGGACCGATACCTGGCGTTAAGATTGGAGATAGTTTTAATCTTAGAGTTCAGCTTGTGATCATGGGACTTCATACTCAAGATACCAAAGGAATTGACTATATGAGTACGACCGAAGGTAAGGTATCAATAGCAACATCAATTGTAACCATGGAAGGTTACAACGACGTGTTCGTGAACTCGGACGAGCTTATATATACTGGCGAAGGAAGTACTTTCGAGCGCAATGTTAAGTTTCCTAAAGATCGGAGGCTGGAAGGGGGTAATTTTGCATTGTCGAAAAGCATGATGAAAGGCACTTTTGTGAGGGTTATTCGTGGATTCAAGATTAAGGGTGAAAAGAATATGAAAAATTATGTTTATGATGGTTTGTACAATGTTGTTCATTGCTACCAAGAAAGGGCGCAACATGGTCGGATGCAATGGAAGTTTAAGTTATTGAGGTGTTCTGGTCAAAATTACATTGATTGGAAAAGCATAAGGTAATTTAATGATAAATTACTTCATTACTCGAATCTTTTTGTTAGACAGAAAGATCAATAGAATGAAATTTTTTTTAAGGGAGTGGGTTTTTTATGGAGTATTGTTTAGTCGAGATGTTTTCATTTTCAACCCTTATCAAAGTAATTGTTTGGAAGACCGTTTAAATTAAAATTTATTTGGAACGTATAAAAATACTCTTTTTCAACTCTTTTTTTTTTAAGTTTAATCTTTTGTATTTATTTATTATAGTTTGGTCTTGTTTAATTTAAATTGTTTTTAAATATTTTAGAAAAAATAAGTTGTTATCCGTTCAGATAAGAAAAAAAAAGTTAATATCAGATCATTGTTAAATGTGTAAATTTTTATAACTAATTATTTGAAATTTTGTATTGGAAAAAAATTATAAAAATTACATATTAATAAAATTCACTCTATTAGGTCAGATCAAATCAAACCAGATTAGGCTAGATCAAATCAAATAAGTTTAGATAAGCAAAAATAAGGTGAATTAAACAAGCCCTAAAAAATCAATAGATAATACTCTCTCCGGCAAAAAAGTAGAGAGAGAAAGTAATTAAAGTACATGGGAAAGTAAAATTTAAATGGGAAAGTTGAATTTGCACAAATATTTTTGCAAATATTAGAGAATTTTGGTGAAAAAATAATATTAATGGTACTTGAAAAAAGTAAACGTGACTAACATTTTGAGTCACCAAAAATGACAAAAGTAACTATCAATCGGGAACGGAGGGAGTATTATTTTTTATTTTTTTTAACTCCACTACTTCGTATAAAGTTGATTCTACAAACATGTTCGTTTGTTATGTCCCTTTGTTATCCAGTACTTAAAATGTTGGGTTTGTTAATTTTCTCAAAAGATTTATTTGGCTGCTTCCATCTTTAAAAGTAATGTCATACAGCTACGTTTGCAAGAGGACAAAAGGCATAACAAGAATTAATGTTGCCAATTAAGTAGAAGACGAATAGACGACTATGCACTGCTTCAGACGGTCAGCCCTCCCTTTCTCGCATAGTTGTTGTTCTGACTCTTCTGAGATATTCGTCAATGATGTGAAAATTAGTTATGTTAAACTCACATAGAAACAGTGCGTTTCTGGTGCGGCTGACCATGCGGCAGGGTACTAAAAAAGTAACCCCAATACAAAAGTAACTCCTGACTAACTTAGTAACCCTTAACCAAGTAACCCCTGACTGATCTAATAACCCCTGACCTAATAACCCCTAACTGACCTAGTAACCCCAAGTAACCCCCGACCTAGTAACCCCCGACTTAGTAACCCCAAGTAACCAATAACCGACCTAGTAACCCCCAACGTAGTAACCCCAAGTAACCCCTTAACGCCGACCTAGTAACCCCTGACTGGACCTAGTAACTCCTGACTGGATCTAGTAACCACTTACCCACCACCAACAAAAAACTACCACCAACGAACCACTACCAACCTAAACCACCAACGAAACCAGATTTAGAACCCAAAACCACGAAACCACCACTACCCACCCACGAAACCACCACTATACACGAAAACAATTTGTTTTTCGTTCTTCAATTAAACAAAAAATTAAGTAATAAAATTTAACAACTTACAAGTTATATAATCAAAATCTTCAGCAAATAAGCTTGAATTCAACATAAAAGTCGTAGAACATAAATTTCCAAAAGTAAACCATTAATGAAGTTTGAAGAAATTTGGGCTAAGAAGATGACACCATTAATGAAGTTAGAAGAAAAAAGAGGAGAGGAATAAAAATTGTGGGAAAAGGAAAATGTTGTAGAAGATGGAAGAAGAACAGAGGAGAGAAATAAAATTGGGGGAAAAAGAAAAATGTAATAGAAGATGGAAGAAGAAAAGAGCTGAGGAGAGAGAAGAAAAATTAAAATATATATATATATATATATATATATATATATATATATATATATATATATATATATATATATATATATATATATATATATATGGCTGGCCGTACTGTACGGCCAGCCGTATATGAAACTTTGTGACATAGAAAATAGAAAATAGGAAAAAACGGTTTAATGAGTCTTTACCATTTATAACATATACTACCTCCATTTCTTTTTAGTTGAAACGTATTTTTTTTAGGAAGTTTTTTTAGTTGACACGTTTTCTTTTGGGGTAAATTTTTTACCTTTCATTTAATAACTACCTCACTTGCTTTTATAGTCCCTCTCACTCTCTCTCATCTCCTTAATATATGTTCCTAAATCAAATGTTTCATCTAAATAGAAGCGGAGGAAGTTTATATGGTAATATTAACCTACGATGTCAAAAACTCCTAACAAGATATAATATGTACCTTAATTAAGCAATACAAATATACAAGTTATAGCATGTAAATTACAAATGCCTAATTTGTTAAGAAGAAAACCAAATTGTCGCTTTCCAAAGAGCTTTTGTTAAAATATCTGCCAATGAAGACCTATAGGAACATACACATAAGATAGATTACCATTCACCAACTTAGCACAAACATAGTAACAATCTGCCTTTATAGGTTTTGTATGACCATAAAAAGCAAGATTTTAGCAATATGAAAAGTAAATTGACTCTCATAATACAATACAATATTATAGGCATGGGATACAGAATACCAAGAGGGGACAACAAAGATTTCAACAACTTGAATTCACAAGTTGTACATAATTGTCATAGCACGATACTCAGCTTCAGCAAAAGAACGAGATATTTTTGGATGTTTCTTAGTCTTCCATGAAATAGGAAAATGACCAAGAAAAACTATATACTCCTTCCGTCCTAAAATGCTTGGTACTTTGGAATGGACACGTAGTTTAAGGAAACTAAAAGTGAGTGCATTTAAAATAATTGTTTATTATACAACAGATTCTCTTTTGCTTTTTTATATTAAAAAAACAAGTGAGGGTTGGGCGGGGGGCTAGTGAGGAGAGAGAAAATGTAGGAAAAATATTATTTTATTGATGATCTCATTCCATATTTAGCAATGTGTCAAGTATTGTGGGACGGACAAAAATGAGAGTTGTGTCAAATATTATGGGACGGAGAGAGTAACTTGACAAAGAATGACGAGTCATTGGACAACCTGCCCAATCACTATCACAGAAAGCCGTCAAACACATGTCCTTCGTAAGAGGTAACAATATACCCTCACCAGGACTATCTTTAATACAACATAGTACCTTGATTGCCGCTTCCCAATGTTTCACCTACGGGTTACAAAAACATTATGCGAGAGTATGAACAGAGTAGTAGCTCAACTTTTGATGAGTTAGTAGCTCAACTTTGGATGAGTTAGTCGCTCAATTAAGCAACGATACTGATCAGGTTAAGAGACTAGCTCTCTCTCAACATATGTTAGACGATGGTTCTGCTCCATATGATTATCAATAGGCTTTTAACCTAATAATCGTGCTTATAACCTAATAAACAAGTCGCTTTATTAAGCAACGATACTGATCAGGTTAATAGACTAGCTCCCTCTCGACATATGTCAGTCGATGGTTCTGCTCCATAGGATTATCAATAGGCTTATAACCTAATAATATTGATTTAGATAATACATCTAAAAACATATTTACACTGTGATAAATATGTACCTTAAAAACCACGAGCAATTTCAATGCCCAAAAAATACTTCAACACACCAAGATATTTTATATGAAAGCAAGTACTCAAAAAAAAATTTTTACACGAATAATCGCATAATGATACAAACCAGTAATAATTAGATCATTAACATACACAAGAACATGGAGGGTGACCGTACCCTGAATATAACTTAACAAAGAATAAGTTTCAAGGTATTAAACAACTTAGAAAACCATTGTCGAGATTTATGTTTTAGACCATATAGAGACTTACGCAACCTGCAAACTTTCCCTAGAGTAGAACAGTTATAACCTGGAGGAAGTTGAACATACACTTCCTCCTCCAAATCTCCATGAAGAAAAGCATTATGAACATCCATTTGATATAAGTCCTAATTTTTTTTAAAAAAAACAGCAACAGAAAAAAAAAAAAAAAAAAAAAAAAAAGATTCCCCATTTTTGCCACAGGAGCAAAGTTTCACCTTAGTTCACACCTGCAACCTAACATTTTCCATACACAACATGACAACCTTTATGTAGGCGTCGTTTGAAGTGCGCCTACGTTAAAGCATGTGTGAATATGCTTGGCACTCATAGGAAGTGGGAATTGACAAAATACGATTAGGGACAAGGAAAGTTTGGAGCCGCCAACAAGTTTTAAGAAACTTGTAAACCGTTCACGGTTCATAAAAGGCAACCACGATAAAGGGACAACGATAGGCAACAACGATTGACCCGTGAAGGTTACACCCCATTCATAATCCATGAGATTTCTAAATCCATATGGTTCGGAACCACAAAAGGAGGATTAGGGATGATGGTACGAAGTGAGTTATGGAGTCACATTCGCCCGTATTGGCCTCTATTCAATTCTTATAGTGAAAAGTGATTCCTGCGATCTCAAAGGCATGCAAATAATATATTCAATTTGCTCCAAACTATTATTAGGCTAAATTGGTTAAATATTAATGCAACATATAATTCTAAAATATTGTGATCACTTGATTAAACAACAAGATTAAAAAGGAACCTAAATCGGTTGTCCAAATTATCTTATTAGGCGTGATTTTCAATTACATATTCCCTTTAAACATGCAATATAGTGATCATAATAACAATATAATAAATATTAATATTGGAAGCAATTTAACAATAATAGCGTTAGTCAAATCAAATATAAAATAACCCTAATCATGATGCTAGCAATATTAAAATAAACTAAGAGAAATTAAATTAATTAATTACTCACATTTCACACGTTTCTTTAAATTGCTACATCATGAATAAACTGTTAGTAACTTCAATTAAAATATAAATCAAATGAAAATTAAATTAAAAGTAAAGTTGATTTGGTCCAAACCCTCAGTCAATTATACCTTTCACGCCTTGGTTTAAGTATAGAACTTCGGGTATTGTATGGATTCCTTGGAGTGCTTAGGGAAAGTATTTTGAGAGAATAAGGTGGCTAGTATTTAGGCTAAAGAGGGAGAAGAGAATGATTTTGTCATCAAGCTTGTTGACCCTTGAAAAAGGGGATATATGACCTCTATTTATAAAGAAAAAAGAAGGGCCGAAAAAACAAGATAAGATCCGAATTAAATCG